TCTCGCCTACATCGTCCATATAGGACGACTCGGGAACTCAACTCCTACCCCGGGCAGCTCACCTATCCCCTTATGCCCAGGGGAAAGGTATCAAGCCGTTTGACAGCAGATGCTAGCTGTCAAACCGGCTTTTACGCAAAACAGGCGGGAGGCAGCAAACAGCTGCGACCGACGAAATCGCCTGCCACCGGAAGTCTCCGGCTTTCCCTAGCATTTATCTGATCCTTAGCTAGGTAGCATTTTTTTTTCTCTCATTTTCCAAGATCATTCCGATGTACCATTACAACACTCTCACTCCCCTTCTCCCAAATTCCCATGGGAAACAAGTTGAGGGCTATGAGAGGGAAAATTTATTATTTTTATTTGTTTGTTTCTTTAATTTCTATAGCAGTCCATCTCAACTGATTAACTCTAGACTGCAAACTCTTCTAAAATGTATGTGTATTGTTCCACTCCCTCCCCCAATTCTCAAGATCACTAGTAGGGGCCCTATATTATCTCCTCCCATTTACGTGACAGCTGCCCCTCCCTTGGGAATCTGTGGTTTATACTCACATCTTGGTGCCTGATGTGGAAGGAGCAGATGCGTTTCCCCTTACTTCGGCTCTTGCTCTTCCCGAGGCTTCCTCCACCCCGTAGATGAACTCTTCCTGCTCATCTTGATTATCACCTAACTCCTGCAAGGCCAGTAGTAGCCAAGGAAAGGTGTGTTCATTCAAATATTGATCGTGAAAACATTATACCAATTATAGAACATGCACATCTATTCCTGACTCCCAAAGCATTACATGTCCCAAATTCATTGAGAAGATCTGCAAGGCCGTTCTTACAGATTCATTCCCGTTCTTTTTGTCTTTTATGTATTTGTCCTACCTTTTTCCTTTTCTGCACATAATGTTATTCCTTTGAAAATTTCAGTTTTTACATTCTTACATGTTTGGTTTTTTAAATTTAAGAAACATCTTTATTTTTGTTAGAAATAAAAAAAATGGGAGTGCAGTGGATCTGCAAGTTGAACATGACCTGCTCCCCCCATTATAATGATGTCAGGTGAGAAAGAAGGAAGGAAGGAAGGAAGGAAGGAAGGAAGGAAGGAAGGAAGGAAGGAAGGAAGGGGTTTGTTCATATATTTGGTTTAGCATTTGTCTTTCATAAATATCAGCTTCCCAAAATTTGAGTTATACCCTCATCTCCAACGTGTCCCTCCTCATTTAACTAAATGCCTTCCATGAAAATGGAGCAATCCTCCAAGCAATGTTCATACTGTTCTTTATGCTAATCCCAAAAGTAAGATGTGATTAGGAATAATGCATCTCTGGTCATCCATTCCAGGCAACAGTTTTTTTAAAGTCAATCTAACATATGGGAAGGGGACTTTCCACTATCTAGTCTATTTAATATCATCATTCATTGGTGTGGAGGGAGATGATGTTGTGGATATACACAACTCTGTGTTTGATTGGAAAAGGTACCTAAATTTTGGTTAGAGGCAACCTAAAACAGAGTGAGCAAGCCTGAATGAACATGCAGTTGAACACAAGGGTCTGATGCTTGCTCAGTGAAGCCACTTTTTATATGCACTATTGCAGGAGTCCCCAACCATTGACAACCGGGCCGCGCAAGCAATGGGCGAATGGACGAAACTCCACTCCTGCTGCTTGTACAAAAACCATCCCTTCTCCCCCATAACCGTAGCTGCCGATAACCCTACTGGTCCGCAGAGCCAGAAATATTGGGGATTGCTGCATTGTAGGAAATGCAGCTGGACATTCATATGATTTGAATAATGAGTAGATATGTAGGGACCATGAGTAACTACGTATCCTCATACTGGTTAAACAGTGCTGAAGAAAACAGCTTAGTGTAACAATGTTGCATTTAATAAATTAAAGACATGTGGAAAGAGAAAAGGAAGTACCTTACATTTTTTGCAACCTTAGACACACATCAATCCTTCTCACTATCCTTCAATCATAGGGTAGAGTTCCTGACCCATCTCAAAAGGGTTGACTGTGTAGGAGGAAGGCCAAGCAAATATTCCTGCCAGATCAGATGCTCGGCATTCTCTATTCCCATAAGATGTTTATGAATATTCTCTCTATCTGATATATTCACTAAATATTCTGTATTGGGGTGTCCTGTTTGCAATGTTGTCAATGGCATGATAGACTAAAAGGAGCAGTGCAAATAGTATTTCAGAAACTGCGTATTAGCATGTCAAAGCATTTGTATGTTTATTTAAGAGAATGCTTAGAATTCAATGCATGGAAAGTGTTTCAGTGGGAGACTCCATGGAAGTTTGGATTCTTTCCTCAGCTGCTGAATCCAGCCCCTCTCAAAGGATTCTATCAATCCAATCAAGAATTGTAGTCAGTGTTACCCTGGAAAGGAGACAATGAAAATCAAGTTGTCAACAGTAGATAGAGAAAACCATAAAAACAAAAGGCTACTTTTAGGGCAATTAGTTATGAATTTTTGAGAGTATTTTTAACTTTCTAAATGATTACTGATTGATCCCAATGATGAGCTCCAGTTTCCCTAATACTAGTTCAGGACCTAGATTGTAAAACTTTCCTACCAGTAGGTTTGCATTCTTTTAGGCATTCCTTCGAAGTTAAGAAGTTGTTTTCATTCCCTCCGCATCCACTATAAACAAACAACGTACACTTCCCAGTTATTGTGTCGAAATAAAAGCGAGCAGCAGGAGTCGTGCACTTTCCTACTTGTGGTTGAATGAAACATTTCTGGGGAAGTATAACTGAAAGTGAAAAGAAGAAAATAAGACAGACTGTCCCTTTTAAGGAAATCCAGAAGATCATCACATGAAAATATATCCAGAGTGCAGGGCAACATGAATATTTGAGCATCTACTGGAAAAGTAGATCCTGAGCAATCCACTCCAAACGTCAGAAAAAGTAAAAACAATTTGCCTACCCTAACGTGGCGAGAACACTCAAATTTGAGTCATTGCCACTTGCTATTACAAGTCCTCAAAGAGCTGAAGTGCAGCTAAGAAGAGGCACGAGATCCCCATTCCTAAGATCCCAGACTTCTGGGATGGACGGAGGAGCTCCTGGGAGAGGTTTCCTCCCAATTGCTTGAAGGTTAGGATTTGTATTCCAGCAGACAAAGAGAAACCCCTTCTAGAGCTGGGCATTCAACACTTGGAGGAAG